GAATTAATCTCTGTTTGCTGGGTCCACACACACACAAACACAAACCCCACTTTCCTTAAATGTATTACTTATTATTGGTATCACAATTGTAAGTATGTATTATGTTGAACTTATTTCGCACCATATGCAGCCAACTGTGCTAATCAGAAGTACGGGGGAAGGACAACAAACTAAACACAGAGAGCAGTCCGAGACAAATGAGTTTTCAATCTAGATTTAAAAGTCCGTAGCTCTAGTTGCTTCACCATAAAGAACTTCACGACCAATCCTTACGTCGTTACCATACAAAACAATTACAATTACTGATGTATCCAGGATGGTCCTGCTGTATTGTTTATTTTATTTCGAATCTTAAAATGTTTCCAGCCAACCTCTGAGTTGTTTATACAACGAAGTGGGATGAAATTGGAGCACGTGGAGACACCAAATGTGTGTGAGGAGGGAGACGGGCAACGCCGTATCCCACACAGAAGGCGCATATAGAGATTCTGGCTTTCGCCTGATGATGCTGGTTGTAATTACTGGCGAAACGTTGTACTCGAATGAAAATTGTTGTGACTTTACTCTCCAACACAGCGGTGTGATGTACTAGTAACGAATTGGCTAGATTTGTTTACGTTACAAACCTTACTAATTGGCTGCGTCGTTGGTGGCAGGTTTAACGACGCATTTATATTTACGCGATCTATACCAAAATCCTGTTATGGATGGCGATTATTCTGCACTTGCTGTACTACCTTCTCCTGGCGAGCCAGGGTGTGGCACCTGCTCGACACCCGTAGGAAGGGGAGTTGTCACGGCAGCAGTGTAATCCACCAACCTTCGCTGCCCCCCCCCCCCCCCCATAATGTTTATGCGTTGCACAACCTGCGTCTACTCAATATTGCTGCGTCGGCAAATGTCCTGACCTGCGCACGAAGCCATGAATGCATAATTCCCGCGCGTGTCATGTGCAGTTATTGTTAACGTCAGGCTACGACCAAGTGCATTGGATATTTTAATTTGTATTGTTCGTAGATTGCAGGTTCACGAGTTATCGATATTTGAGAGGCCACAATAACTCAGGGGATGCTGCCGTGGTGCCTGGTGGGGCAGAGTGTAGGCACTCGCCACCTCTTCTAAGATGTCTGACCAAAGCGTGGAAGAGTAAGCCAACATATTCTCTCCAAGGGCTCATTAGGGATCTCCCTTCAGCAGATGCCCTTCTTCCAGCAGTGGTGTGAAGAAGAAACTTCAGGGCTGCACCTTTGTTTTGTACATACCCACTTTGAATATTTAAAAGGGCCCACTTTTATTTAGAGCGTGAGAGAGAGAGAGTATTTAATGGATCCTCCATGACGCTGCCTACCATAGATAACTGATATGAGTGTATTCGGAGTGTTTCTCCTAGAGATCACCATCTTGACATCTATAAGAAAGGGCAGGCACATTGAGTGACATTGAACTCATTCTCATTGACAGATCGGTTTGATGAATATCATTTTAAAGGTTCAAGTGGAATAATACAACCTTTAATACTCAACTGAATCAAACGTATCCATTACATTGCACCCTGCGCACGAGAACACGGAGCAGACACAATTTATGGCCTGCAACCATAACATATATGACAAGTCTGTAATGAGCGAAATGGGTAGGATATATTGCTAATGGTACACCTGACCTTCGTTAAGTAATGCTGTGTTTTCCACTGCCGGGAATAGTATCAGTATATAACATTTTGCACGTTTAATTGGTAGGGTTTTTGTACCACTGCCCATAATGATCCTTGGCAAAACAGTATTTCATTCTCGAATAACTTCTGTTTTCACCAAAATTGTTTTTTTTTACGTCGGCTCTTTATGCTCAAAAGCAAGGATTTTAATTGGGGACGCATTAATGACGACTACGTCAATTTTGCTCAGGACAATTTACAGCGATCTACACAGTCACTGAAAAACAGGTGTAGACGCATAATTGCTACACAATGGTAACAGCTCAATTAGAGAGATCGCGCGTGTTTAGGTGGCATTTAAACGTCCATTTGTATTCCGAGTATGCATTGGCCTTACAGGGCGATGATCAGCAGTGTTCTGTGCAACCAGGGTGCATTCGTCAGTGAGTTAACGAGAGCGTACACGGAAGAATATTCCACGCAGTAAAAGGTGAAATTATTAGGGTCATTTTAGAGGAAGTAGTAAAGGCGTTTGTCTTCCACCTAAGTGAGAACAGTTAACAGAGGTACTGCAAACAGAATAACATGGCCAGGCAGTCGAGTTTAATTCATTTCAATGTATCATATCCAACCTGGGAAACACTGTTGTGCCTTGGAGTGACAGCGCAGCAAGTGAAGGCTATTGCACAAACAAGTTATTCCTGTTGTTTCAGTCTTTTTTTCTGATTACAATGCCAGGTTTTTTTCTTTGACATACCGTACATACACGACCATAACCATTCATACTATACTCGTACATTAAATGGGCCCAATATCACAATCAAGAATACAAATCATTTTGCCGGGGGTGATGTGGGGGGATGAAACTGCAGTGAAATGGTAATTCCACTTAAATGTCAAACACGAATCTCTAGACGCAATGGATAAAACATCTGATATCGCAGCACCGCGAGGTGGCTGTACCGCCCACTTATCCCAGCTAATGAACAGCACTTGGCCACTAGACAGCGCTCCACTCGCCCTCGCAGAAACTTTGAACGCATCACGATGAGATCCCGAGTACAATTTTCGCAGTGATTCGTAATAATTCAGAGGTCACGCGGCCTCAATTTGGCCTTGACGGAGTCTCTAGGAGTTAAACTCCGTCACGCCTCTTTTCAACGAGCGAATCTTCGTGGAATAAACGGGTTCGGCTCTCGACCACAAAGTAGCTGTCCCCGGTGCTGAAATTAAATTAAATCTCCGTTGTTCCTGGAACTACCTCCCGTTGCGCTTCAAATTTCAACATTGCTAATTTAATACGGGGGATGCGGTCAGAGAGGGGGGGTGCTTCTCTGCTGTAAAGTGCTAGTCTGGCTTCGCGACTCTACATTGGCTTTGTCAACGCAATAATCCTCAATCGGATTGGAATTTTTTTCTTTAATCAAACGTTGAAAGTGTGTGCACTCTTGCATTTTTTGTCACGTTTAAGCTGTTATTGATGTCGTTGGAATGAGTTTTATTTTCGTCACTCAATCGCTCACGATGCGACACGCACAATTATCTACGGTGTGTGCCCAGGCTTCACATTACCACGGCTACAATTATGATCTCATCCCCTTTTACTCTACTGGGGCATTCGCTGAGAGGTTCCTTGTTGGACCGCGTGTCGATTGTTCGGGTTGCAACCTGTGTCTACATGTGTTTGAATCTGAAAACAAGTGTGCGCTATTTCAATAGATAAAATATAATGAACGGAGTTGTAATTAATAAAAAAAATATATCATCTACGCGCAAAAAAGTAACACTTTTATAACGAACGTTCACAACTAAAATAACTATCCAATTAGCGACACCATCGTGTTTCCCCCCACCCCCAACTATGATGGAATCCCATTCAATTACACATGAGACCATTATCCTATGTGTCGCGTCCCTGAAGCCCAGCTGACAATGCCACTCGCGTTCCAGGGTTGCGCGTGATGCCAGAGGTCGCGTGTTGCACGCCGAAAATGCGAAGTACGCACAATTATGCGACGCACACCAATCGTGAACGCGACAGGGCAAACAACCGCCTGACGTAGAGCGGCTGATTGAGTGACTGCTACGTGCAGTATGCTATACTGGTAACCGGCGGAGCGGTGGCGCAGCTGGTTAGCGCACCGCCGCGCTGTGAAACCGGTGGACATTAGTTTTACGATTGCCACCCCACGGATAACACCAGTGGCGAGTGCTATATCATACCCGCACGGACCAGCGTGATGGTGAAGTATGATCAAACAACCCCCCTCCCCCCCACTACGTTTGGGAAGGCATTCAATGCAGCAGTGGATTGACCAGTCGTGAAACATTATAATTATTATTTACACGAGTAACCAGTTACTAGCGGCGTTTCACCCGCTCTCTCTCTCGGATTTAGCCTCACACACCACAGAGAAAAAAACAATGGGCTCGCTGTTGCTGGGGGTGGAAGGCTATTTATGTAAATGTCTAGCACGAGACCTCCAAGCAGAGTAAGAACTTCAGGCTGAACTCGCCCTACGAGTGAAACCAATCAACCGAACGCGCCTCTCACTGTGAGCACAAACTCCGCTCTCATTTCTCCCGCATATTTGATTTCTGGCCCCGTCCAGACCATCATTAGCCTCTCCGTCACTCGCTCAGCAACTCTGAGTCGGTGTTCGTTATACACTCCGTAGATTTTGTGTCGGTGGACTATTAGCGGGACAGTGCTGCTTAACGCATTGGCCCGCAAGCCTGGCGAACGAGGTCTGACTCAATCATGTGCCATGCACTCCGCCAATGCTGGGTATACAATCTGAGCGGGGTCCCAGTCATACCCGGTAAGATCTCATCAGCACCCCGCCCTCCAAAAAAAAACGACTACCTGCTACTGTTACGGCAGCAGCAGCAGCGCTGAAGTAAACATCAGCATGGCAGGGTAGACAAAGCCGACATGGCGAGCGAGATGCGTATTCGCCACACGAACAGCGTGGTGTGCCGGCTGAGGTTAATTGAATCGCTCAAACTATGAACAAAAAGTGGGAAGACGTGGGCAAGGACGCGGAGTGGATGCCGAGGAATGAATGAAACGCGTCCTAGAGTTAACGGAGAATGAATTAAACGCGTCCTATGGAAGCGTCCAGCGAGTAGACGGAGCGGTGAAATCGGCTCGCGCGCACAGAAGTGAATTGACCACGACTGACTAAGAATAAGATGATGATGATGCTGATGATGTACAAACAATGGAATGCGGAATGGGGCATTGTTATGAACACGTGGCACGAATGGGGTGGCAAAGGACAACGTCGCACGGACCATCATCACATCGCACACGACGTGACAGCACAGGGACCGCCCGGCTTACCTGCGCCAGGGCGCTGTAGTCCTGGTCGCTGATGCTGATGAAGGGGATTTGGAGGGCGGCCGACATCATCTCCAACTGCAGGAACCGCCGCGGTGACTCGGTGAAGGCCAGCACCGCCGCCACGCCGTGCACCACCACGCCGTGGCATAGCTCCTGCATCAGCGTCTGCGGATCATGACCCTGGCCCAGCCCGCCGGCCGTCTGAACGTCCAGCGTGATGTTGTACGGCAGGAGGCCCCGCGCGTTGATATCGCTTGCGGCCGCCCAAACGGCCCTCTCGGCGTCCAGCGAGCGGCTCTGAGTGGCCGGCGAGGGCAGCGTGGAATGCGCCGAGGAGGAGGGCAGAGTGGCGGAGGAGGAGGTGGGTAGCACCACTGCGAGGCGGACGGTGCTGCGAATCTGCTTGAGAATGCGGCAGGGCTGCGGGTGCGAGTGTCCACGTGCAGCCAGGCAGAGGAGGACGAGAGACCAGGAGAGGAGGTGCAAGGGCAAGAGTGGAGGTCTGCCCTCCCGCATCCTCGCCGCCAGCTGGTCTCCCGCTCGTCCACAGCGCCTGTCCGGCGCGACGCCCGTTACGCACGCCTCGAGTGCAGCGGCGCCACAGGGCAGCTGCATGCCCCGGCAAACCAGCGTCGGCTCACGCGTAGTTGTCGACTCGGTTTGAGTCGGGTTGCGTGTCTTCCTTCCGTACCCCCCTCTCTCGCTCTCTCTCTCTTCTTCCTCAATGGCTCTAATTCTCACAGTTGTGTTTTAAATAAAAAAAAAACACGCCAACGTATCTTTAATTCTCCCAGCGGGGTGTCGGCATAATTAAGGCATCGTCCCCTCGATATCTGGGCAGGTTGTCTGCTGTTCGTATTTCTCGGCGCGCTTCTTGTTGCAGGAGCGGTGACAATGATTCTTCTTCTCTTCTTTTTATTTTACCTGCGCTCGGCTTTGTCGTTGCTGCGTTAATGGTCGTCGGGCTATGCGACTACATTGAACAGCAGGGACGCACAGACACGCCAATCGAACCCGGAATAGCGCTCGGTACTTGCGGACCGCGCCCCAGCCTTCTCTGACTGCGCGCGTTGCCGATCTGCGAGCGAGTGTGTGTTCCACTGATTCCCGGGCATCTAGCAACACCTCTCTCTCCCTGCCTCTCCTCCCTCCACGCTCGCACGCTCTCTCGCTCGCACGCTCTCTCGCTCTCTCACTCTTTCTCTTCCCCGCCCCGTGTCTCTCTTGCACGCCCCGTTCAGCGCCAAGTCTCCGCTAGCCCACACGGAGGGAGACACAGCAACGCACGCACACGCACACCAAAAGATCCTACGAAGATCGCTCCGTATCGTCGGAAGAGAATTTGCGGGTGGGGGGGGGGGCAAGTGCTGTTAGCGAATAGCTATGAAGGCCGATAGCCACGGCACACTGAGGGGGTGAGTTGGCCAGCACCACGCTCTCAACTCGGATACGCACGCAGGCGTACGAACACACACACACGCGCGCACGCACACGTTCACACTGGCTCGCACGCACACACACACCCACACGGACCCACGCAGACCCACTCAGACACCCACGCGTGCTCAGACACCGCACAATGACAGAGATCCCCCGTATAGCCCTTAACAAACTGTTTGTGGCAAGCGCAATTAACGAGCACCTGTGAAGGTTGGCACAGCACATGACGGGGGTGGGTGGCCAACATCACGCCCGGCCGCCTTTGACGACCCATTGTGCTGATGTTTTCACACAGCACCAGGTACTCGTCTAAAGCTGAGACGACCTAGGGGAGGCCCAGAACCGGTTAAAATAGTGCACTGCCTCGCGCATACATACAGACATACACACGTACAAACACCCAGGCCACACGCACTCCAGACACGCATTCACACAGGCACGCTCACGCAGCCCCACGGTGTAATATGGAGAGGCACAAGCAGTGGGAAACGAAGACGAGAATCTCCAGTATAGGCTGTAACAGACTATAGGAGCAAGCGCTGTTTGCGAGCACCTATGAAGACCAGCACGGCACACGAGGGGGTGGGTGGCCAGCGCCACGCCCGACCGCCTTTGTCTTCCTCGTGGCGATGTCTACACACTCTGCGCCAGGTACTCATTTGAGGCTGAGTCGACCTGGGGGGGGCAGGAACCGTTTCAGATAATCGTCACCGGTGTTGGCCGTGAGCGGGAATCGAACTCGGCTCGCCAGGGTTCGTAGCGCAGCGCGCTAAGCGCTACCGCTCACCCCCGCAACAAAGACAAAGATCCCCCGTATAGCCTAAACATACGTTTGGGGCAAGTGCTGCGAGCGAGTACCTGTGAAGGCGGGCACGGCACACGAGAGGGTGAGTGGCCCGCGCGCACACGTAACGCACATACACACACACACGTAACGCGCATACACACATACACGCACACACACGTAACACACATACACACACACTCATTACGCATACACACACGTAACGCACATACACGCACACACACGTAACGCACATACACACTCGTAACGCACATACACGTACACACGCGTAACGCACATACACACACACTCATTACGCATACACACTCGTAACGCACATACACGCACACACGCGTAACGCACATACACGCACACACACGTAACGCACATACACACACACTCATTACGCATACACACACGTAACGCACATACACGCACACACACGTAACGCACATACACACTCGTAACGCACGTACACGTATACACGCGTAACGCACATACACACACACTCATTACGCATACACACTCGTAACGCACATACACGTACACACGCGTAACGCACATACACGCACACACACGTAACGCACATACACACACACTCATTACGCATACACACACGTAACGCACATACACGCGCGCACACGTAACGCACATACACACACACTCATTACGCATACACACACGTAACGCACATACACGCGCGCACACGTAACGCACATACACACACACTCATTACGCATACACACACGTAACGCACATACACGTACACACCCGTTACGCGCATAAACGCACACACAAGTAACGCACATACACACACTCCTAACGCATACACACACGCAACGCAGATACACGCGCACACACACGTAACGCACATACACACTCATAACACACGCACACGTAACGCACATATGCACACACACACACGTAACGCACATACACACACTCATTACACACACACGTAACGCACATACACGCACACACACACACGTAACGCACATACACGCACACACACACGTAACGCACATACACGCACACACACACGTAACGCACATACACGCACACACACACGCGTAACGCACACACACGCAAACACACACGTAACGCACATACACGCACTCATTACACACACACGTAACGCACATACACGCACACACACACACGTAACGCACATACACGCACACACACACGTAACGCACATACACGCACACACACACGTAACGCACATACACGCACACACACACGCGTAACGCACACATCACGCAAACACACACGTAACGCACATACACGCACACACACACACGTAACGGACATACACGCACACACACACGTAACGCACATACACGCAAACACGTAACACACACACGTAACGCACATACACGCACACACGTAACACACACACGTAACGCACATACACGCACACACACACACGTAACGCACATACACGCACACACACACACGTAACGCACATACACGCACACACACACACGTAACGCACATACACGCACACACACACACGTAACGCACATACACGCACACACACACACGTAACGCACATACACGCACACACACACACGTAACGCACATACACGCACACACACACACGTAACGCACATACACGCACACACACACACACGTAACGGACATACACGCAAACACACACACACGTAACGCACATACACGCACACACACACGTAACGCACACACACGCACACACACACACACGTAACGCACATACACGCAAACACACACACACGTAACGCACACACACGCAAACACACACACACACACGTAACGCACATACACGCACCCACACACGTAACGCACATACACGCACACACACACGTAACGCACACACACGCAAACACACACACACACGCGTAACGCACATACACACACACACACACGTAACGCACACACACGCAAACACACACACACACACACGTAACGCACATACACGCACACACGTAACACACACACGTAACGCACATACACGCAAACACGTAACACACACAGGGCACAGAGCCCCGCGTGTTGCTAAGCACGTGGTCATATGGCGCTGTAATGAGTTCTGAAGCAGAAAATGATATCCAAGGCTGGCTGACTGTTTCAAGGTGGATGGTGTTAAATACCATGATACCATATCCCATTAATAACCAGCAGATTTATCAAACAGCTTCACTTTTATACACATCAAGATATTCCTTCTCTAGTTAATACTGTCATATTTATAATTCGATTTTTGAGCTATACACTGAACCCCTAAATGTAATCATTATGTCGTGCCATTTCGTATTGCGTGTCTTAGCCATTTGCAGGCCTTTGGGTCGGTCCGCTGCTGGATGAAGGCAGAGGTGGTCGCGAGGGGCTGCTTGAACATACTTCACCAAGCTGGTCAAAGAGCGCATTGGTGGAAAGGGGCAGATATCGCTCCCCACCCATGTGAGCCGACGTCTAGGTAATCGACGTTAGATCGGCCAGGTTATCGCCAAGCAGTGCGATAACCACTGCGCCACCGCTCCACCCCCAAAGAGATGTACTATGCATACATGGGATTCTATTAACAAAAAAAAATACCGCCAATTATCTGCATTGCTCAATACATGGACACGGTGATGTAAGGGTGGATGAGTGGTTGGCACGGGCCCTGATGCTAGGAATGAATTAACAACAATAATTAAATTTTATATAGCGTCATTCGTGCTAATTGCATCCCATAACGCTGTACATCACATTAATTAGATACAAGGACCAAATCCGACCACCAAGCAAATGAAGACCCCCCCCCCTACTGCCATTCAAAATTAAACATAATTAAACAAAGACATTAAGCAATGGCACCAAAGCAAAAAGGCACAAATAACAACAACAACAACGTTATGGCAACAGCGAAATGAGTCCATCAGGTTACTCGCATCCCACACAGGAGGGGCGGTGTGACGCCTGTCCGCCTCTCCCCTCGAACCGTAGCCCCGACGACGGGCACCACGGTTGTGCAAGATGTCGACTACCTCGCCTGGCATACAGGAGGTCGTGGATTTGATCCCGATCCTGACGCCTGCTGCTGTATAAAACTTGATTTGAAGCTTTCGTGGCTGCAGGAATTACTCTTTGGTTCTTTCGGTAAAGTCACGTAGAAAGACTTTACCTAAAGAACCAAAGAGTAATGCTACTGAAAATGTGTGAGTTTGCGTGTCTCTCTCTCTCCCCGTGGTCGCGTTGATTTGTCTCCGGGCCACTCTGCTTTTCCCCCCATCCACATTTAGAATCAACATCACCACGCGTCTTAGAGTGTTTGGCTACGGCAATACATTCTCCACGTGACAAGTCACTCCGCTGAGCTATCATTTGTGGCCAGGTCGTTTCAAAAAACGGCTACATAGCTCAGTGGGCCTTACCTGGTACAAATGTAGAAACATTGATATAGTTTAATGGGTTTAGCTGGTTCCTCTGGCCAACGGGCCCAAGCGAAGTAGCACATCGCCTGCAGCCTCGACGGCTATGCCCACTGCATGCAATCCTGGAGTCATTGTGTATTGAGCAGCGCGTCCCAATGATGATTATACATATATTTTGTATCCAATAATACACGCCACATATTGCACTGCCCCAGTGGCGTAGCATGGGTGAATTGTGCCTGGCAAAATGCATTATATTGGGATTCCCCCCTGTCCAATTTCCCTTTCCGGCTTCCAAAACTGGTGATGTCTCCCCCCCCCCCTTCTGTCTTAGTCACATATTCACTTTAAGATGTTTTCTTGTTCTTTTTTTTGTTTTTTTGTTTGTTGCGGTTGCACCCGATTCAAGAGCCGAATGGCTCACAGGGCTATACCTAGTAAATGAACTTGAACTTGAAATACTGGATAG